AAAAAAAAAAAAAAAAAAAAAAGAAAAGAAAAAACAGAACTATCCTCTTCTGGTTAATTGGACAAAATGAAGTGTTCAATATAAATCTGGGCATTTGAAGCTCAATGATCTGTTATTATGATTCAGTGGGGGGTGTCTATTCAAGTGCTCTTTTAAGTCTCGTATGACCAGCATTCATATATATGGTTATTATAGTAACACCATACAAATTGAGAACAGCACTGAACAAAGAAATCTCAACGACACACTATCAGCTTTTATCATTTTGTTTCAATGTCGAACAAAGAACTAGCTGAATCTATATCCATATAATGAACTAATTCATATTACCATAATTGATATGATTTTAAGTCGGAAAGATATTTTTGTATATATTTGGTATATAGTTAACTTTTCTTTCTTAGTGAATTTCAGAAATAAAAAATTAATTATTTTTATTTAGTTAATCGTTAATATTAATTAATAATAAGTTGAATTAAATAGAATTATTGATTGGTAGTATATACTTTTAATAATAACTTGAAATAATTTTGTAGTAATTTTTTGACACTATTAAATGAATTTATCCATAATAAGTGTGATAAGTGATTTAACTAATTATATTATTATTGTTCTATGGTTGCAGATATTAAGTTTTTAGAACTAATCAGAAACACTTTACATATATAAAAAAATAGTCAGGATAATTATGTTAGAATCTTATTAATTATTCATATTAAATATTAATAAAATTTGATAAAACATATGGTCAACTTTATAATATATGATTCACTATCTACCATTCTCATATGATCCCTTCTCTCTCTATATATATGTATATGTAAAGGTTTATTTTAGTATAAAGAATAATAATTTTCAGCCAAAAAACTATTAGTTAATTAATAAGTAAATATTCCAGTTTCTCTTTCTATTTCCTTCTGGTATGTCAGAATCATTTTGTTTAGAATTAGTTGAAATTAACAACTACAGTTTTACTTTTCACATTTTTGTGTCAACGTTGAATAAAGAATTTGTTGAATTTACCACAACAAAACGTATGTGCGTTATCGTGATGTTAACAAGGATGATGTGACCATTTGTATAAATCAATTGATTGAACAAATATTTATAATTATATTATGATATTTATAATTATATTATGGAATATCATACATTATACAAAACAACTTAATTATATATTAAACAATTGAATTTTAGATAGTTGATTTCGGAGTACTATATTTACTAAGTAGTACATCTATATATATATAATTACTAGCTCAAAATATTTAATAAAACCTATTTAATTTTACCTATGTGGCAATTTAACAATTTTCCCTCCAAAAACCGTTACATTTTGATGTATTTAATTTTTCATTTAATCATTAAATAATTAATACTCATCACTTCAAAATTACAAAAATTATTTTAAATTTTTTATTAATGACAGTTGACCATATAATGTGTTGACCGTATAATGTGATTAGATGTTATTATTGTTGTTACATTTAATTTTTTTTAAAATAAAAAATATATTTGAAATTCTTAAATAAATAATAAATAATTCACAAATAAAAGACGTACTAAAATATACATTACATCCGATCAGATAAACGCAATTTAAAAAAAAAAATATTCCAACTCTTTTAATTGTAAATTTGGTCTGCAAAAAAGTGAAAGAAAAATAATTAATCATTATATGCATACAGACTCACAATAATTTATTTATATCTGTGCAAATGCACAGGTCAAATACTAGTTTATTCTAAAAGCAATACTATCATTTATGTCAGTCACAGCAAACCCTCCGTCTCAAAATCAGCAGGAAAAACTATGATTTGAGCAAATCAAAAGATTTTGATAATTACAAAAAAATCTCATATTATGGTTTCGGTCTTCACGTTTACCCCAAAGCAATTTTTGAAATTTCACAATGAGTAAGAGAATTTCTATATTTTTTACAACCACCAAACCTCATGGGAACTTTAAAAGTATATCCTACTAAAAACATGGAAGCAAAACCAACCAATTAAGACAATATAAGTTCAACTTCTTACAACTTAAGAATACACTACATAAGTCCGCATGTTTTCAAGTATCACAATCAATTAATTAAACAAACAAAATAGGCCAAACACCATATCACTCATATATTACAAATATAATCACACAATCACGAGGGACACATTGCTCACCTTATTACATGTTTTTTTTTTTTTCTTCTAAAAAAGAT